AAACTCCTCAGGCCGTTACCGACCCTGTTGATGTTATTCCTGGCTCTAGCCAATAAAGGTATCCCGTTTTTCTCCGTTGTTATGGATTTTAGCTTCTTTATTTGGAATTGTCAAGGGAGTGGTGGAATCAAGTTCCCGAAAGTTTTATCTGAATATATACGAGACCATAAACCTTACATGATTTCCCTCTTGGAACCGCGTATTAGTGGTAAAAAAAGCAGATAATGTCATTGGTAAACTTGGTTTTGGCAAATCCTTTAGAGTGGGGGCGACGAGCTTCTTTGGAACTCCACTGTCTTTGTTGAGGTAATGACTGTTCATCCCCAATTCATTCACGGTAGGGTCTCCGAAAACCTCTTCCCGATCCCTATCTCCATTACTACGGTCTACGGTAGTCCTAATAGTGCCAAACGCAAGTCCCTTTAGCAGAACTTTAACAAGTTGTCTACAAATCGAACCCCTTGAATCCTTACGGGTGATTTTAACGCTCTCCTCTCCAGCGTCGATAAGAGAGGGGGAGCTAGAAGTGGCTCAGGATGTAAATTCTTCCAGAATTTCCTGGTTAATTATTGGGCCAACATAGATTTTATTTTGAAAATTACTGTATTCTCTACAGTGAGCACCAAACTCGTCACCTTAAGATATTATTTCAGGCGACGAGTTCCTGAAGATATTATTTTTAAATTTTCCCCGTGAAGTGGATTCCACATGGGTCATTATTTTTTTATCATTAAAATGATTTGTCATCTCAACGTGACAATCCCATTTTAAAAATATTTTTTAAATTACAAAATTAAAATAAAATAAAAAGTATAAATAATTTTTTTAAGTGAAACTCATTACGTCGAAGTGATGAGTTCCTTCAAATTCAAAAAAGTAGCTGTTGGTCAATGACTATATGGGCAACAGTCATCACCAACGATCACTTGGGACTTGTCACTGGAGGTGACGAGTTCGGCTGAATAAAATTAAAAAAAATTAAAATCAAAAGAAAAATGAATTTATTTGTATTTTAAAAAGTATATAAAGTAATTAAATAATTGAAAAAAATAAATATTTACAAAGAAAATTTATTTATATTTCCTAAGTTCTTAACGATGTTGCGGAGTGGTCGAATGACAATACTGTGGGGCTTGTCGAGTACGCTGGGGTCGTAGGCATTGATCACCATCGTCATCGTCGTCATCGTATTGTCGAGGTGTATTTAACACACTCTACAATCCACCTTCGAAATGTGGTGATGGATTTATGACTTTTGAAGCCATCATTGCCGTAACTACTTCAACTTGACTTCTACTTTGTTGATCATATAGGATATGGTCTCACATACTCGCAACCGCATATTCTGTCGAAGATGCTTGAGTGTATTACGATGCATCCTATGAACCAATAAATCAATTCGGTCGAATCTCGGCTGAAGTGTGAAATGGAGGATAGAAACTGAAACTAGCATGAGATGCATAATAGTACTCTTGAACTACATATGCTGAAGCGGAGGAAGACGACAATGATGCTTTCTTCTTGGGCTTGGACTTGGCGCATGTGGCTTGATGTTGTTCCCTTTCTCCTCTCTCTTCTGGTGTCGCGAGACATGGTTTCTCATTTGCTTCGTAATTTCAGAGATATGAAGAATAGTCAAAATATAGGTCCAGCAGTGTAATGTCGAGACGCGGGGGAGCGATTGTTCACACTGATTCCACGTGTCCGACCATTTTTTGGTATGTTTCCCACGCGCATCAATTCTATGGAGTGTGTCCATATCAACCATCTGCGTAGGAATCGGTTGATGCGACACAAATTTTCGCATCACTCTATCAATAGTGTGTCACTCAACAATCGTATAATGCAATAACGGCGTCACGGTACACCATAAGTGAGACCCCTAAAAAATCCCCTTTACAATAACTGGTTGATCTCCTCGTTAACCTATAGAAGCCAAAAGAAGTGAAAATATTAAATATCAAAATTAGTATATATAAAGTTAAAAAAATCCAAAAATAAAAATAAAAAAATAAAAAAAAATCGTGTGTCATATCGCACATCAACCGGCAATGTTGATCCTCATCCGTATATCTCGTGTAGTGGTACCCTCCAACTTCATCTCGGATATTTTATTACGCCATCTAAAATTTTTAAAAATAAAAAAATATTATAAACCTTACAGCTAGATGAAACTCGATAGGGACTGTTGTAATTGACATCATAAATGGGAATCAATACCAAACCCATGACTATAGCTGTATCAGACAGCCTGCGACATCGACTTTTTGACCCGGCTTGAAAATTACATCCTTGCAAAGCTCCCGGTACAGAAAGGTCAAAATCGCTAAGCCCCAACTGGTATTACATCACACATTGAAGTCTTCCAAATATCGCAAATACTGAGTGTGCACCAAATTATCAGATTTATCTTGTAATAATACCCCTCCGATCAATTGGAGAAGATATGTTTGAGAAGCGAAAATAACCTCCTCTTCGGTAAACTCGCATGTCACTTATAATTTTGATTTCAACCATGTTATTCGTACCCGAAAACCGTCAATGACGTCGGATGGTGGCCATTTTCCCAAAACTTGGTAGACCAACGATGCGGGGTCGTACATGTTCTAACTCACCACGGGAGTTCCATTCACAGGAACATCGAGTTGGTAAGTGACTTATTCTAAAGGAATTATCGCTTCACCACTTGGGAAGTGGAACGTGTGCGTCTCAGGCCGCCAACGTTTGATTAGAGCCTCAATTAACGTCGGGTACAACTTGAAGCCACAAACAAATACGGCCGAAAATAGAATGGATTGCTACAGATATATCATGATCTGTTGATGCGGCTCTCCGTATGTCATCTCGCGCTTACGAATATTCCATTCATCATATGACTGGTGTACGATCGACGAAACATTGACATATCCAGGCGCAACATATATTCTCGAGTTGTCATTTTTTGAGATTTTGACAAAAGATGTTTTTTTTGTAATTTATTGAATTTAGGGTTTTATGAGAAACCAAAACCCTAAATTCCTATTTATAACCTTACTAAACCCTATTTATAGCCTTACATCTAACAACTATAAACGACTAATTAGAAAAAAATATATGATCGAACAAGTCATATCGAGGTGACGAGTTCCAAGTGACTGTTGGCCATGACCGTTGCTCATATAGCCGTTGACCAACAACTACTTTTTTGAATTTGAAGGAAATCGCCACGTCGAGGTGACGAGTTCCATTTAAATTTTTCAATTTATACTTTATTTTATTTTTGTAATTAAAAAATATTTTTTTAACGGGCTCGTCACGTCGAGATGACGAATCATTTTAATGATAATAAAATAATAACCAACATAGGGCCCACTTCACGGGGATAATTTAAAAATAATATCTTTAGAAACTCGTCACCTAAGTATTCACTGTAGCAAATGCGTAGTTTCAAAAAATAAAGTATGTGTTGGCCCAATACCCTAAATAATTAACCCGCATGGGGTATTGGGCCAAAAAAAAACCCATAAACTTTAGCCAGTTCCTTTTGGCATGAAGCATGTCATTCCTCGAGTGATAAAAAAACGCTCGAATATTGTTTTGACATATCCAAAGTATAATTCAAAAATATTCTGACATATCCAAAGTATAATTCAAATACCAAATATAGGTAAACTGACCTTATGCCTAAGATGTCGAATTAATTCATCGAAATTAGAATACCGTAGAACTACTTGTTCATCTGTAGCCCCATATTCTCTGACTCCAATGTATAATTGAAACGAAGAAGAAGAAGAATATCTGAGAATAAAAGCTTGAACGCAATTGTGTTGAATCTAAAAGTGAAGAAGTGAGCTCTGTGAACCGTACTGTGGCTTGGAGAGTTAACGATCCATTTTGGAGGAGGCACTAAAACTTTCATTGAAAAACAAAAGCAACAGAATTGAACTTCATCTATTTGAATGCTGAAGAGAGAGTTTTTGGATTTTCCTTTTTACGGCAACGAGATCGCCCAAGTGACTGATGATTAGAGGAGCGTATTAGGGTTTAATAATAACTTAAAATAATTATCTTGAAGCTTTTTTCGTAAGGGGTCCATAGCTCAGTGGTAGAGCATTTGACTGCAGATCAAGAGGTCACCGGTTGGGCCCTCTTATTGTTTTATGGAATTTGAATTCATTTACAGTTTATAGTTTCGGCTACGAACTTGGGGTTGCAGCTGCAGGCCATAATCTTTGTGGACTAAAAAAAAAAAGTGTTCAAATTGCCATATTTTTTAAGATTAAAAGGACCCTTGAATTTAGTAACTTTTAATAAACTGGCTTCTAAACCTTAAATTTTTAACTAATTAGAACGATTTGTTTAATCCATTTCATTTAATTGAAAAATCTAAATAGTAAAATGTTTTAAAAATTAAAAAATAATACATTTTTACGAAATTAATTAGTGGTCCATGTCGAGAAGCTTTTAATTAAAAGAAATTACGGTTTCGTTTCTTAGATTCCACATCGACTATTAAGGTTGTGGCCTGTGCCTCACTAATTGACTGCCCTCTCGATCTCTGGGTGAAATATCTCTCACAAAACATTTATCTGACATGGAACCCGACTATTAATTTGGTCTGGTTGAGAATGTTAAATTTTAGAGTAAAGTATAGTAATGGTCACTGAACTTTTCTAAAGCTTTCATTTAGGTTCTCAACTTTTAAAACTTGTAATACAATCCCCCAATATTTAGTCCGTTTGTAATATGGTCCCCGACGTAATTGTTGGGGGACCATATTATAAACGGAATAAATGTTGGGAGACTATATTAAAAGTTTTAAAAGTTTTGGGATCTAAATGAAATATTTAAAAACGTTCAGTGATCATTACTATACTTTACCCTTATTTTATTTACAAATTATAAAATATAAAATAATTAAATTCGGGTATTTTCACTTCTAATTTCCGAGCGAAAATTTCTTTGAAAGTTATATATAAAAACAATCTTCAACTCCCACTCTAAATTGGCTTAGAGTTGGAATAAACAACACGGAAATTTTCGAGTACCATCGAATCTTCCCGAAAGTAATTAACACCAATTTAAGAAACTTGGCCCTTGACTCTATCAATCAATTCTTTGGATTCTCAGGTTAGTTTCTTTTACCCAATTCTTAGATCTGTCTCGTTTTTCTTTTAATTTATAATTTTGTTAGATTATACTTTGTGATGAATGCAGATGCGGTCGTATTTCTATATTTTTTCTGGGAGTTTTTAAAATTTGATTTATATTCTGATTTTAGATTAGGGTTTTCGTTTTTTTTGCCTAAATCTAATAAATTGTTGAGATTGGCTAATGATTAGTATCGTTTATGGGAATAATTTGATGAATTCGAAAGATTTAATTTTTAGAGTTCTATAAGGTTTGTGGTGGATTTTTTTGAAAAATGAGAACTGGGTTTGGAGTGATTGACTGAAAGTGGTGATGTTTTCTTTTAATTCCATAACTTGAATTTCTGGATTTTTTTATTTAAGTTTTGCCCTTTCAATTCGTGCATTTTCCTCATGATATTTTGATCTTTTGGTTTAGGTATATAAGCAATGGTGAGGGGTCTTGGGGAATCAACAAGCATGCCTCCCCCAAGTCAATCTTGCTCTAGTAGTAGTAATGCTAATGATGCTGGTGATTTCGAATGCAATATCTTCTTTGAATTGGCTCAAGATCCAATCGTCACACTTTGTGGTCATCTATTCTGCTGGCCATGTCTATACTGGTGGTTGCACCATCACTCTAATTGTCAAGAATGCCTGGTTTGCAAGGCCCTCGTACAAGAGGAAAAACTTGTTCCCCTTTATGGCAGAGGCAAAAACCAGACTGATCTGCGCTCTAAATCGTATCCGGGTATGAAAATCCCTAACCGGCCAGCAGGACAAAGACCAGCAACTGCTCCTCCTCCACCCCGGGAAACAAACCAGTTTGTGAATTACGGGATTGGACTAATGGGCGGTTTTGTTCCAATGGCAACTGCAAGAATCAGCAACTTCATAATGGGTTTTGGAGACTTATTGCCATCCTTGTTCAATATTCGGTTTCATGGATATCCAGATCCTGCTGTGTATAGAACACCTTCAGGATTTCCTTGTGGATTCCATACGTTTCATAGTGGTCATGCTCATGGGTTTCCCCCACCGACGACTCGGTGGCAGCAGGCAGATAATGTATTGAAGAATATTCTTTTGTTGATTGGTTTCTTTGTCGTGTTTGCTCTGCTTTATTGGTGAAAATAGTTTCAAGCCTTCGGCCAGTGGTGGTTATTTAGTGTCTGTAAATACACCAACAGTACTGTAGATTACATTTTTGGCTTCAAGAACAACTCACACCAGTGTCAAATCATATTTTTCAAAAAAAAAAAAATAGTTTAAGTTTTCGGCCAGTGATGATCGTATGTTCGGCTGTACCATTGCCCTCTCAACTAGCAGTGGAGACTGGAGCTTGAAAATCTTGTTCTTGTTCTTCATCTTCAGGAGGATGTTCCGGTTGGAATACTAACGTGTTTCCAGTATCTTGTCCGGTAACAGTGGAAAACTGTTTTGATGTTGGTACTCTTCAAGGTTTACAATGCGTTTGCAATTACCATATTTTCATTTGGATTCTCACAAGGTTTCGTTAGATATCAACCTTGTTAGATTCATTCAAAGTTACAGTTGGTTTCTTATTCAAACTTGTATCTGACTTCAGATTTATATCTTGGAAAACAAGTGTATTCAAGACGGTTTAAAACAGATATTGGTTGTCTGTATGAGCAGAGGTGTTTCTAGTAATGTCCCGTCTGTTTTGCTTTTTTTTTTCCTCCTAAAATTAAATTGATTAAAATCTTAAACATTTATATATATAATTTCAATGTTTAAATAAAATAAAGGGTAAAGTATAGTAAGGGTCACTGAACTTTTCTAAAACTTTTATTTAGGTCTTTCAACTTTTAAAACTTACAATATAGTCCCTCAATATTTATTCCGTTTGCAATATGGTTCCCCAACAGTTACGTCAGGGGACCATATTGCAAATGGACTAAATGTTGGGGGATCATATTGCAAACAGACTAAATATTGGGGGATTGTATTGCAAGTTTTAAAAGTTGAGGAACCAAAATGAATGCTTTAGAAAAGTTCAGTGACCATTACTATACTTTACCCTAAATTTTAATGTTTAGTTGAAAAATATAATATTATTTAAATTTATATTTTATTAAATTATTATTTTGATATATTTTTAGAAAATAAACTTTAATATTAAAATATAAATATCAGAATGAAAAATCATAAATTTTTTTAATCATTATATTATCTAATTTTTGAGTAAAATACATTTAATATATAATTAGTATATTAAACTTATGTTTTTAAATAATTTTCATAAGTATCATATTTATTTATATAAAATATAAATAATATGAAAAAAATAATATTTTGGTTTTGAGTGGACAAAGATATTATCTTTTAATTTATAAGATCTATTTTTCAATAACTTAAAGTTATATATTATTTTATAATTATATTTTTACAATAATATTATTTTTCACCTCATAAAATTTTAAATAATTAATATTTTAAAATATTCAAATTTATTAATATTTTACTAAATCAAATTGTTTGCATATTATTATTATTTTAAATACATTTAATTCCGAAAATTAAAATTAAAATCAAAATTAAATAAAAAAAACTCGATTCGAATTGCTTACCTTTGTTCGATTGAGATTACTACTAAAAAAAAGTCAAAAGAATAATGTTAGATAAAAATATCAAAGGAAAAAGAAATTAAAAGAAAAACTAAAATAAATAAATAAATAAATATTATATTATATTATATACTTTGATCGTTCTACACTTATTGAAGTTGTAACTTTCATTCCGGGAGTTATTGCTTTGATATTGATTCCGTCAAACACATGTAATGCAGCTTCTATATTTCCTCTATCTCCAATGGTTCCTCCACCAAATACTTCATCAGAACCCCACTATTAGCAAGTGAAGTAAACAATAACCCAAATAATGCACAGCCAACATATGAAGCCCAGAAAAATCCCCAGCAGAAATGAAACACGAGGTTCCATATTGATTTATGATAGGTTATGCAATCATTCATCATAGGACTAAAATAATCACAAATCGAATCCCGTGAATTTAACAACTTTGCCATTATATAAGCCCTACCATGGCTGTGAGTTTGAAAAGGATCAATAATAAACATGTAACCGTAACTTAAAACTGATATAGGCAATGTAACGGAACTAATCATCAAATTTATCTGGAAACCGATTGCCTTGATCACAAAACCAACTATAAACAATAGCAAACTGGAATTAGAATTTAGTGACTCACTGGGTTCAGCGCTCGAGTTGGCGGAGATTCCTACCTTGTCGCTTTGACTGTTCTTTCTGTTGATTCTTGTGTACAATGGCTTGATTACATTCAAGTATCTGCGCACCAGATCTTTGGAAGATCTCTTCGAGGAATCATCGGTTCTGCCATTTGTTTTCCGCAACTGTTTTCTCTGGTGAAACGTTCTTCGTGCTTCGTGGTCTCTGGTTTCAGTTTCTTGGGAGTAAATACCCGAAATTTAACCCCATGCAAAGAGAACTGCAAGTCGATGAAACCGTCGTCTCCTTCATCCAAATCATGATCGGAAACCTCGGTGGTTGTGGTAGTGGTGGCGCCGCCGCCGTTTCCATTACAATGACGGGTTTGGCTCACTTTATGAACACCTTAACCATTTTTCCAAAACCTCAGAAAATTCAGAGCTTCCATAGATAAGAAACAAAGGAGAAATGATCCAAAGGAAAAGTAGAGTGATCTTTTATGATCCACAGGAACCGTGGCAACTCTCCTCAAATGCAAACTCCTTTGCTTCGATGGGAGCAAGACAAGGTTAACCAGGAACCGGTTCTGGTTCCTTCACTTTTTCCTCCCCCCTAAGACGAAGACCCCCCAACATTATTTAAAATTGATAAATAACTAGCCCCAGATTCCCACTTTCCTTCAAACATGCGTGAGTTTAGACGTGCGAGGTGGTGGGTGGGGGTTGGTCATGTAGGTGAGTAGTGGTTTAGTGGGTAGTTTGTAGGAAATGGGGGTTAGAACAAAAAACCTGTAAAAATAATAATAAAAATATTAATAATAAAAAATAAAAAATAATATTTTTTTTAAACTCGAAAAAAAAAGGGTGTCTACAGCTGCCCCTCTTTACACATTTTTATATGAACAAGAATATGACAAAGACAAAAAGACAATCAGTTTTTATCCGATCCACTCAAATGTGATTGGACTTCCTGGAATTGGGCCTTTATCTTCTCCTCGGTTTAAAGATTTCAGCTTAAAAATTCTTCCAGAAAGTAGTTCATCGCTGTCATTGAGCTGAATGAAATCGAACTCGTCAGGTTTTTGGTTGGCAGATAGCCCTTTCTCGACTTAAGCTATGCTGTCGGAAAACAATTTCTTGTCACTAAGGCACGACTAACCCATGTCTTCTTCTTGACTTGAAAACCTCGACTGCAACCGGACAATAGTGTAATTGATGTGTCATCGAGCTAAATGAAATCAAACTCGATAATTTTGTTGACAGATAGCCCTTCTTGCCTTGAGTTACGCTGTGAATGATGTGTCCTCGAAGCTGAGTGTAATCAAACTCGAGGGTCTTTGGGTTTCAAGAGAAACATTTTCAAAGGCTTTTTTGTGTGTGTGTTTCAAGAGAAACAATTTCGAGGGTTTTTTGTGTTTCAAGAGAAACTGTCTCAAGAGAGACAAGATTTTGTTTCAAGGGAAACTGTCTCAAGAGAGACAAAATTTGTTTCAAGGGAAACTGTCACAAGAGAGACAAGATTTTGTTTCAAGGGAAACTGTCTCAAGAGAGACAAAACTTGGAAACTGTCTCAAGAGAGATAATGGTGAGCACAATTCCCTTCGCCGTGAAGTTGAAACCGTGGATGGCCCCTTCGTTGTGAAGTTGAGCCTTAGAATTGGATATCCTTCGTCGTGAAGTTAAAATCCAGTATGTTGTTTCGAGGCCAATATCCTTCGCTGTGAAGTTGAAATTGACTTCGAAACTGAAAAGTTTGTTGACAGACACTCCTTCTCTGAGTTAGATATCCTCCGCCGTGAAGTTGAAATTCAATATGGAGATGGATGCTGCTTGTGTGTACGATTCCCTTCGTCGTGAAGTTGAAACCGTGGGTGGCCCCTTCGCCGTGAAGTTGAGCCAGGAATTGGATATCCTTCGTCGTGAAGTTAAAATCCAAGTAAGTTGTATTGTTTCGAGTCTAATATCCTCCGTCGTGAAGTTGAAATTGGTTCTGAAACTGGGAAGTTTATTGACAGACACTCATTCTTTGAGTTGGATATCCTCCGCCGTGAAGTTGAAATTCAATCTGGAGATGGATGCTGCTTGTGTGCACGATTCCCTTCGTTGTGAAGTTGAAACCGTGGGTGGCCCCTTTGTCGTGAAGTTGAGCCTGGAATTGGATATCCTTCATCGTGAAGTTGAAATCCAAGTAAGTTGTATTGCTCCGAGTCCAATATCATCCGCCGTGAAGTTGAAATTGGCTCTGGAACTAGGAAATTGTTTGTTGACAATCAGCCGCCCCTTCGTCGTGAAGTTGAGCTTGTGTTGTCTTGAGTCCAATATCCTTCGTTGTGAAGTTGAAATTGACTCTGAATGAAATTGAAAAGTTATTTGTTGACAATCAGCCGCCCCTTCATCGTGAAGTTGAGCTTGTGTTGTCTTGGGTCCAATATCTTTCGCTGTGAAGTTGAAATTGGCTCTGAAATTGGGAAGCCCCTTCGTCGTGAAGTTGAGCCCCGAATGGCATGATATCCTCCATCGTGGAGTTGAAATCGTGGATGTGTGGGTATGATATCCTCTGTCGTGGAGTTGAAATCGTTGATGGCCCCTTCGTTGTGAAGTTGAGCATTGACTTGAATATCCTTCGTCGTGAAGTTGAAATCCAAGTATTGTATGTTGCAGGTGGACACGATTCCCTTCGCCGTGAAGTTGAAACCGTGAATGACCCCTTTATTGTGAAGTTTAGCTTCGAGCTAGATATCATTCGTCGTGAAGTTGAAATCTACTCTCGAACAAATTGTGTTGTTTCGAGTCCAATTTCTTTCGCTGCGAAGTTGAAATTGACTCTAAAAGCTATAAAAATTATGTGTGCTAAAAATGATAAATGTGATGCTCCTAAGTATATCCAAGATGCATGCAACATGAATGAGTTATCTTGGATTGGAGTCCCGTTTTTTGTCTGCCAATCTGATCTATGGAATCGATCGTGCCCCATTTGCTTCTCGAGCTTTGGCTTTACCGACCTTTCATATTTGAGGTTGTCCTGTTTGAAAATGTTTTTCTCATTTTTCCTGTTTTAGGTGGGAAAAGGATAAAAATTATGTAAAATATTGTTCTCAATTGAATCAAATTGTAAACATGAGTTCAAAGTATATTAAAGGAATCAATAGCTCTTTTTAATGCCTTCAGAGTTATAGATCTTTGACAAATGTTCAAATGGATGAGTTGACTTCAGGTTGACTTCCTTTCTAAGGTTTCGGTAACCCAAAATGTCATTTTTTGAAATATCGCAACATGCTTTT